TTTGATCTTTCGACCGACGTCAAGAAAAAAAAACATAAAAGTATATTTACTTTACGATTAAATTGTTTGTAAAAGAAAAATTCCTGTTCCCTTAAATGTAACTATGCGTCGTCACCTTTTCCTCCATTTACTTCAACCGTTTTGTTTACCCGAACACTAACCAACAACAGTACAATCATCGTCATCATCATCAGCACCATGAATAAAAACAACAAAAACACCAAAGCCAGCCTGATCATTACGGCAAATCAACAGACACTAATTTGTTGGCATACTCACTGGATACAGAATAGAGAGGCCAACAAATCCACAACTAAAATCTAAGGCAATATATCAGAAAAAAAAAAGTTCAATAGTTGACAATTATTGCTGTTGAATTGTCAATCTCCAAAAAAGGTAAAAATGATAAATATACTTGCAAACTAACTTTCTTCTATATTTTATATGCCACTTAAATTCTGCCCAATTCACCGTATTTAAAAAGGCAGCAACAAAAGTGACAATATTAGCTCTGTTTTCGTGATTAAAAAATTCCCACGAGTAAAGAGATATCAAAACTACGATTAAGCCGTACAAGAGAAAGTAAAAAAAAATGCATAAAGAAGATGAAAAGGAAAAAAACGGCAAAATATTGTTGCTACAACGATGATGATCAAAACAACAGCAAATGAACAAAAAACAACTCGTTGTTCATCTTTGCCATACGTGTACGTATTAATGTGTACATAAACATCTGCATTCCGGCAGCTATTATTTCCAGTCATCGCCGCTAAATGCATATGCCTTCCACCACGTCCATAGATCTTTCTATCCTCCAGTTGTTCTTCTTTTTTGGCAAACGGCAAGGACCGACACCCTAACAAATTCTCTTTCCCACAACCCTTATTTTTAGAATCTTCTTCACACTTACAAACAAATCCAAAAAAACAATCTTCTCGCCACATATCAACATAAGCTCCAATCATTTCTTCCCATACACAATTTGTAGGAAAAAATAATATAAGAAAAAAGAAAGCAACTGCTGAACACCAGAAAGCTGCAAAAACGTAACACTACCATCTAGCACTTTCACCTCCTCGTAACTTTTTAAATGAACTGTAACAACCAGCAAGAAAACTATAAAACATTTAGCCATCGAATCTCCAAAAAAAATTTGTACCCCAGAGAAACCGTTCTCACATTGACCACAAACGCCCCAGAAATGTATCCACTACTAGAATGCAACCAAAAAACCCAAGAAATAATTAAAAACACAAAACTCTCAACAAAATTATGCTTTCCGACCCCCCTCCCCCCACTGAAGACGCAACGACCAACAGATACCATCTTCCAACTGTTCACACATGACAGAAAAACCTTCCTACCAACCACAAGCTTAAGTGATAACCAATTACACGTCCATCTTATCAGTTACCCCAAAATCAAAAAATTAATGCTTTTGCCAACTCTGTACCCATAACCCAAGCCCATTATTTGCAAAATTACGGAAACGAATACCATACACCGCTAAGTGTGCTGAAACCACAAGAAATGGACGTCACAACACCGTGGTTCCAGAAAATCACAATGCCAAAGAGTATACACACGACACGACCGAATTATCCAAGTTCCTTTCAATGCACTAGAATCTCCTGTTTCATATTATTGTCTCTGCAGACAATAAAAAGTGTGACATTTTTAAGAAAGCGACAGCATTATGCACATCTATCCAAATAGTAGTAATAATAATAGTGGTAGTAACAGTAATAGTAATAATAATAACAATAAATAACAACAATGATAACAATAATAAAAAAAAAAAAAAAGAGAAATAAGACAATGAGAAATTATATTTGATTAATCATTATCAATATTATTATTATTTTTATTATTATTATTATTATTACCAACAGTAACTATCATTAAAATGTGTTCGCAATTTTTAACTGGAATTATACGACGAACAGACAAAGATCATTTTCACGTTACCCTATGAGTGATGTTATGCGTTTTTTAACTTCTATTATCGCCTAATTTATTCCTCTAATAATTTTTAGAAATCGGATACTGAAAAGATTGCAATTCATGGCTTCAAAATTTTGGTGAGTCTGGAAAAAGCCTCCAGCAACAACGCACGTCCATCAAACGAATCAATTTGGAACATAAAAATAAAGCAAGAAAGCAAAAGTGAGACAAAATAAAAACGGTATTAACAACAGCCAACTTCGCATTAGCTATAAACAATTAACGAAGGACACGAAGAGAATCAAAAAAGTAATAACAAAAAATGAAAAACAAATTTGTAAAGCCAAAATTTATAAGTTAATGATAACAATACCATATGAAAAATTAATACACGCGAATTTACTTCAAACCAGTTACCTTCTCAAAACCTTAAAAACTGAACTACATTTTAATTCGCCGGAGGAACAATTTCCAAACGCTTTTTAGCCCTGGGCTGTGGTGGTACAGTACTACGAATTAACTGCTGACTCGTATCAAAATATACAGTATCGTTGGGAGCCCGAAATGCAGTCGGTGTCACTGGTGTAACAGTCGCTATAGGTGGCATTGGTTGCATTTGAGGTTGCATAGGCTGCAACGGTCGTATTGGAGTCTGGAAGGCTGATGGTGGCGGAGGTGGACGTTGCCATTCTACAGAATTTCGAGTTGGCGGAGGTTGTGCTGCCGGTACACTCATTTGTGGTATTACTTCTGCTACAGTAGTTGATGGTGGAGCTACAGTTATTGTACGTTGATCGCCGTATGCTACAGCAGTACGCTGTTTCGAGTAACGTTTACCGCCACCGCCTCCATTTCCTCTAGCAGAATTAGATGTTAAGTTACTGTCTCCACCTCCGTTACCCGAAAAACTTCCTCGTCCTCGACGAGCCGCTGAATGTTCACCTGACCTCTTCATCTGTCCTTGATGATCACGTTGTTCACGCTGATCCCTCTGACCTCGAAATTTATTTTCAATCGGCCTGTCATGGTCGTTTTGAGGATGCATATGCCGGCCTCCCCGTCCAGTGGTCACTGCTCTGTTACTGACAGCTAAAGACATGGAAAAGTGAAAGCAGGTTTAAAACCAAAAAAATTTCGCTAAAACACCTCACCTCTTCCACGGTTGTTTCCATGACTCGGCTGCCTCTGTTGCTGCGGCACATTAGTCCTTGTACTATGAGTGTCCCTATTCGGTTTCTCGCTATGGTACTGTACAGGACGCCCTAGACCACCACGACCTCCTCGGCCACCCCGACCAGTTACCCTTGTGCTTTCATTCCTTGTACTAACTTCTTCTTTTGATTTATCCCTTTTACTTTTTGGCGACCGAGTTAACTCTGCCTCATCAGGCTTATCCTTTAAAAATTATCTGTTTGAAAAACATAGACAAGTCGCTAGAGTAAAATTTCATAAAAATTTATTGAAGTAATACACTGTACAAATGCAAATTTATCTGTTAGAAAAATTTCCTTACATAATTAACAACCTTTGAAAATAGAAACAAATAATGTTGTGGATTTTAAGACACCTACTGCTCATGAATGAGTAGAATAAAAACCCCATATCTACAAGGTCGCTTGAACAAAATTCAAAAAAACGCTACAAAACAGATTTTATTTAAAAACTGGAGATGAAAGAAACGAAAGTCCAGAAAACTTTTAAAAAGATATTCTTCTGAACAAACGCTCTCGATTTTCACGATTACCAAGATTTTGGTTAAAAAACACTACAATCAATTCCACACTTCACCTTTCACTTCTTCTACTGGTTACAATTACTGTTTCACAAACCCTAAGCACTTCCCAAACTGTACCACCCTTACATTGCTCCCTCGTCCTGCATCAAAAACCAACATCTTCAAAAAACTCGAAGTGAACCAAAAAACTTTATTTCTCTCATGACTTCTCCCTCTCAACTTTGTTTTCATAGCTTCTAACGAGCTCTAATCTTTTTGACCCAAATCACCTGATAACCCAATGTAACTTAACTACCACTGTGGAAATTTACACTCTAATTTATAAACTTTATTACATTAACATTATAAGAGTGTTCCCTTTCTACAGCAAAAATTACAACCTATATGCTTCAATTTGAATGACTTATGTTCCGTCTCAACATATTTTCAAACACAAGACTCTCTCTCCGACTTTATGAAAGTTTGGAACACTTCCTCTAAAATCTAACAGTATATTCAAAACTGCTTGCGTGTACCAACATGAGCAAATTACACGTCCTGAATAAAATAATTCAAAAAACAGAGAATATATGTTGGTTCTCTATTTTTTCTTTTCCTTTTCTTGCCTTGCCATTTAGGGACCAAACTAAAGAACTCCAAATAAGAATCAACAAACCTGCTTGCGGATATCAAAGCCGTACCGCATCATAAGTTCTCGTTTGGTTTTTGGTTTCTGTGAACGCGGATCATATTTATCATGATCCCACATACCGTCAGCACGAGACAGACGACCCTCACTCCGTCCAACAGTAATGTTCTTCTCTACTGTTCTTGAGTCATGCATATAATACCTTGGGGATTTCGGAATATACGCAGGATTACCAGCTATTTCATCATCATCAGGCCCTTCCTCATCCTCCTAAATCAGACCCGACTATTAAATTAAAAACAAGGTTTTGAGTACGTCACAAGCATACCTTCAGAGATTAAAGGCAAACCCTTCATAAATACCTTAACTTTAATCAAACGATTACTACTTCACAAGATATTTGAATATAAATAAATTAAACACTTACTATATTCTCTTCTACCTCCTCCTGTTCTTCTTCTTCCTCAGTCCCATCTAGTTCTTCATTTTCATCCTGCTTCTCATCTGCATCCACCCAATTTTCAGCACTATCACCATTGAGCTTACACTCAGTTTCTTGATCGCCCTCTTTACTTTCATTTTCACGCTTTTTTTCGTCAGCAACATGCTTGACCTCTTCGTCGTCATTCATTTCTGAACAAAACACAGGTGTAAGACATACAGAATGCTGCATCTTACGAAAAAAAAAA